ATATAGCACAGGTGCTATCTGCCTCAGCCTCCCCAGCGCTGGGATTACAAGTTGTGCACTACCACCCCGTCTCTGTTGCCCACTCAGCATACCCAGGGCTGGGGTCATCAAGGCAAGTGGTACCAGGGTATAAACCCCAGTCAGTGTGCTCACCTAAACAGGTGCTTAGTCCGTTGAGCTTAACCAGCCCCCTAATCTCATTTGAAGTGAGGGATTCCTTTGTTCTTTATCCTCCTCTTCTGCCATGAGATCTCCAAAACGTTTTGGTTTTTTTGTACCAAAGATTAACTCAGGACCTTGAGCTTGCCAGGCTTATGCCACTGAGCTATCTCTCCAGTCTCTGTAATCTCTTGTTGTTGGGAAATGACCACCTATAGTCTCAGAGAGAGGGAAAGGGGTGGGGAAGAACGTTTGCTCCTGTAGAATACTCACAGAGTAAGTCACCTGCAATTCAAGGTTTTTTTGGATACTGACCAATCAGAATTCTTCCCAGGGCTGGAGAGATGGCTCAGTGGTCTAAAGCACCTACTTGAAACAAGCTTGGCAAAGCACAGGGACCTCGGTTCGATCCCCCAGCACCACATGCCAGCCAGCCCCGCCCCCTGGTGGGCTGAGCTGGCCACACACACACACAATAAATGTAATAAATAAAAATAAATAAATATAAAAAAAAAGAATTCTTCCCAAAAGAACAATGTTGGGGCCAGGGAGATGGCTCAGTAGAATAAGTGCTGCCTGACAAGCACAAGGGCCTGAGTTCAATCCCCGGTTCTGCCAAAAAAAAAAAAAAAAAAATGTTGGTTTGCTTCCCACTCTATTAAATATACCACTCTAAAGGAGTAACAAGTTCACATGATACTGTTATATGCTAGCAATCAAGTCCTACTGCTGGTATACATAATCCCCTATCTTCTATGTGGCAGGCATACCCCTCTGGCCTCTCTATTAGGCATGGGCATCTCCATCTGTGGCAGGCTTATCCATCCTCTGTACTGTAGGCATACACATACTGTGTCCTCTCTACTGAAGGGCTACACATTTACTCTCCAATGCAGGCTAATGCTTTGCTTGCTACATACTACAGTCACAGGCATACCCTGTCTTCCTACCGGAGGCATACACATCCCTTGTCCTAACTACTGCAGTGGTGCCCTTCCTGTGCACCCTACTGGGGGTATGTATCCCCTGTCCTCTTTCCTGCAAGTGTATACATCTGTCCTCTCACAGGGTTATGCAATCCCTGAGCTCTTCACCCAGGCCTGGCACCCTGTCCTCTCTACCACAGGGATTCGATCCCCTGTCCTCTCAAGGCATACACATCAGTGCCCTCTGTACACCAGTCAGATACATCCCCTGTCCTCTCTCCTGCAAGCATACTCATCTTCTGTCCTCTAAACTGAGGGTCTGAACATCCCCTACAATTTCCACTGTGGGGTTACACATCCACTGCCCTCCTACTGCGGGCATACACGTCCCCTGTCCTCAATACTGCAGGCCTAGGTGTTCTCTGTACTGCAGGCGTATGTACCCAGTGTCTTCTCTACTGCAGGTACACTCCAGCCTTGTCCCTTTTACTGAAGGCCTAGATGTGCCTTGGCCTCTCCACTGCAGTGTTATATATTCCCTTTCCTTTTACTGCAGGCATGTGCATAATGTGCCCTGTCTATTGCAGTCATATGTACCTCTTGTCCTCTCTATTGCACCTTAAGCATTCCCTATCTCCTCTAAAGAAGGCCCACACATCCCCTGTCCTCAAATTGCAGGCATATGCACCCCAAATCTGCTGCATTCTTACTCTCCCCCTGTACCCTCTACAGCAGCCATAAGCACACTCTCCACTGCAGGCCTGGGCACATCTTGTTCTACATAATGCAAGGCATTCATCCCCTGTGCTCTTTATGAAAGGCCTATACATTGCTCTCCTCCTTGCCGCAGTCATAAACACGCTGTGTCCTTCAGCAGGCTCAGGCAACACTGCTACTCCCCCTGCAACCTTACTCATCCCATCCTCTCTGCTACAGTCATACTTGTGCCTTGCACTCTATGGCAGGCATGAGTATGTCCAGTCTTCTGGGTTCTTACATAACCCCTGTCCTCTCGGCTGAAGATCTACACATCGCCTGTCCTCTGTGCTGCAGCCCACCCCATCCCTTCTTCCTCCTGCAGGCATATGCAGCATCATCCATCTCTACAGTGGACATAGGAATCCTTGTCCTCTCTACTGCCAGCATACATAACCCTTGTGTTCATCACCATAAGTATCCTGTTCTCGCTATTGAAGGAGTATACGATCTCCATTTTCGTTTTTTCAGGTTTGTGCATCCTTTTTTTTTTTTTTTAATTTATGTGTGTGTGTGTGTGTGTGGTCAGCTCAGCCCACCAGGGGGCAGGGCTGGCTGGCATGTGGTGCTGGGGGATCGAACTGTGGTCCCTGTGCTTTGCTAAGCTTGTTCCAAGTAGGTACCTTAGACCACTGAGCCATCTCACCAGCCCCATCATGTCTTGTGTTATGCTTTATGTCTGGTTGTCCCCGCAAAGCCTCATGCAGTCATGGATGGCTTTTAGTTTTTGATTAATTCTTGATCCAATGCTGGCATTATGAATGTGAGTGCTACACCACCCTGGGACAGAAAATCTGCATACAAATCTAAGGAGGAGAAAGAGGCTAGCAGCTGGAGCTGTGGCCCCTCCCTTTGCTCTTTGCTATTTTCCACCTCCATGAGCTTCTGCCCTCTGCCATGTGCCACTTTGCCTTGAAGTCAGCCAGTACGGATTAAAACCTCCACTGTGAGATAAATAAACCTTTCCTTGGGGGCCGGGAAAGATGGCTGAGTAAGTGCTTGCCTGGCTAGCACAAGGGCCTGAGTTCAATCCCCAGTTCCACCAAAATAAATAAATAAACCTTTCCTTCCTTAATTTGGGGTGTTGGGTATTTTGTCCCAGCAACAAGTGAAGAGTAACTGAGACCCCTTGTTAGACTACAGACGCCCATGTGGAATCTTTTCCACTGCAGGCACGGACACCCCATCTTCTCTACTGAAGGCCTACACATCCTGTATCCTGACTGAAGGCATGTTCATCACCTGTTCTCTCTACCGCAGTCATCTGCATGCCCTGTCCTACCTAGTACAGGCATAGGCATGCCTAGTCCTCTGTACTGCAACATACACATACCCTGTGCTCTTATTTATTTATTTATTTATTTATTTACTTAGTGGTACTAGGGATCAAACCTGTGCTCTTACTGAAAGCCTACACATCCCCTGTGTTCTGTAGTGGATTCGTGCATCCCTTGTCATTTCTACAGAAGGCATAGGCAAACCATCCTCCATTCTCTCTGCCAAAGGCCTAAGCATCCCCTGTTTTCTTTACTGCAGGATTATGCACTTGTACCACAGATATCCCTGTCTGCTGTCCTCTCTCCTGCAGGCATTCACATGCCCTCTCTTCTCTATTGCAATGTATCCATTCTCTATTCTCTCTAAGACCTGCTC